CATCCTCACAGCTCACGTCCACATGGTCTCGCTTCGTCCTTCCCACAGCTTAGCGAACGTGCAGCCCGCGGAAGCAGTTCTGGCACAAAAGTTGGCTTGGACGCATCGCGATGGGGTAGCGATCCGCCCATTACTAGCAAGATTGCTTTTGATTAGGGGCTTAATCCTGGGGCTTGAACCTACCCGTCGGTGGTAGGTGCTAGAGTTCACGTACAGCGCAGTGGTGGCTGGACAACTGTGCACTGCGGCCCACCGGTCAAGCTGAGAACAGGGGAGTACATATTGCCAAGGCACAAGGGCTCTCATTGGGTGGCTGACAATGCGGCTCTGCGGCTCAAACACCATAAAACACTGTAGAGCATGGCATCGAGGGACAGAAAGACGGTACGAAAGATTACGGCAGTGCAACTTGACACTAGCTTTTCTGCTTTGCTGCCTTGGTCTGTCACACCCCCCACTTGACGCTCCGCCTCTTTTGCCTCCTTTCCCAGTCCCTGTACTTGGGTTACTTCTGGTCGGCAGAACTACGACATCGAAATACCTTGACCACTCGTCTACTTGAAGGACTGTTTTCGCCTGCTCAGCGAGATTCTACAAGCAGAAGATCTTGCATCTGTCGGACTTCTACGGCACTCGCATTCCCCCATACTCTTTGGCTTCTAAGTGCCGTGCGATATTTACTCGCTATCGCTACACCTGCCCGGTTCTGTGCAACGACTGAACATCAGCCATGGACGCTCATCAGTTCCGAGACCTGCCACAAATTGAGACGATGAACGAGCCGCGCTATCCCGTCTGGGCGACAGAATACACCAACTACATGCAACCATGCAAGGAGCATGCAGTGCGTTTTCATATAGAAGAAGAGAGCTACCTGGATGATTTCGACAATGGCATTGTCAGCATGCAGCCAATGCAACGCTTCCTGTACGAGCAAAGCCCCCTTACGCCAGGCATGCTTTACGCAAAGATCCCGTTCCCAGACGGTCGATACGAGAAGCAATATGAGCAACACTGGCCTCCGGCAGACTGCTTTCGCAACGCATCACCGGATCGTACTTCTTCTGGAAACACTAGTCAAAACACCCAGGACGAGCTTCGGTCACCATACATGTGCCATAGCATCCCATATGGAAGCCCGATGGACTACTCTCATCTTCCGGTTTCATACCCGGCAGCTGAGTATCTTCAAGGCGGAGCGTTCGCCTGCGAATCTCACGCCGAAGAGCGTAACATCAGCCTTCGCGAGCTAGAGTACGAGCCTCCGGTACCGGAAGCAGTGGCTGAAGATGTGGAGGATGTTGTCATGAAACAAGAAGCTACCCCTGATCGTCATCACAGTGAAGTCAAAGAAGAAGCTACTCCGGATTATACGAGGTACGCAGACTCTGGTATCGGACACTCGGTACGAGACGCCCAGTCTGTAGAGCCCGTTGACTTCCCTGAGGAACCCGCTTCGGACTCCGACTACAGTCCGACAAGGTCTAAGCGGAGAAGGTCTACAACGTCAAGCGGTAGCTCGGGTCGCACATCGAAGCGCCGCAAGCCGATCCGTAGAGACTCTCATGCTCCAAGTCCCACGGAATCTGTCAGATCAGAGAAGAAATCTCGTCGGTCCTCCAAGACACAGAAAGCGATCACAGATTCGAGCATTCAGGCTGAAGATCGTCGAGCTTTCCCATGTCCACTTGCCGGCTATGGCTGCACGTCCAACTTCTCTTCCAAGAACGAGTGGAAGAGGCACGTCAGCACGCAGCACATCAAGCTCGGCTACTGGCGATGCGATCTATGTACCCCATCTATCGATTCCAACGACCCACAGACATTATACCATAACGACTTCAATCGCAAAGATCTATTCACTCAGCATCTCCGCCGCATGCACGCTGCTCCGAAAGACAAGTCCTGCCGCACCCAGAAAGATTACCCAGTCTGCGAAGAGAATCTCTCGGAACACCAAGTGCGCTGCAACCTACAGTTACGAGATGCGCCACAACATTCGAGCTGCCTGTTCTGCGAGCGATCCTTCCATGGTATTACATCCTGGGAGGAGCGCATGGAGCATGTTGGACGTCACTTCGAGAAGGATTACAAGAGTCGCGTGGATATGCTCGACCCTGCTACGTGGCACAGGGATCAAAGGCTTGAGCGCTATCTTCTTGAGGAAGGACTCATTGCGAGAGAAGGTGCAGGATGGAAGATTGGCGATGGCAAGCCGCGCAGAAGTGCTGAAACGGACAGCGAAGTGGACTCAGAAGAAGACTGAACCACTGTGAACTGTCAAAAAGGACTTATTCTTCATACATGGCAAGGATTAGGTTTCGGATACTAAGTTCACAGCATTCTACGACTGTCGTTATAGTTGATACCCGTTTGGGCGTTTGGGGATACGTCAAGCACATAGCATTGTTTTACGGCCGTTCACGATTTCCGTAGTAGAGTATCAAAAGCGCGTCATCTTTGAACAGTCTACTTTCAGTTTCCGTCTTGCCACCTCAATACCTCCTTGTCGCGATACCCATGCTGACTCTTCTCTACTCACTTCCCATCTTGACATGTCCGACAACCTACTCAACAGCCCCCAGCCACAACTCCTCCCTCTCGCATACTCACAGCCCCAACACACCGACGAGGTTTAGGCCGCAACGCACACCCATAGCAGCGATTCTGCACCCCTTTTGCCCCAAGACAAGACAACCCCGACGACACGACCATAGGCATAGAAGCATTCCCAACGCCTACCGATCCGGGAATGAAGAGTAATCCAGGAACTTCAAGGGACCGCTTCACCGGACACGCGCTTGCCCTGCAGTGCGAGCCTAGTTCCCTCACGTGGGGGTGGATGACTGGTGGCTAGGATCAGAGAGCGGGAAATTGAGAAAGTGGACAGGGGGAGCGATCGGTAAGCTGGGGCTATGACAGTATTCGTGAATGTACAATGGCGATTTCGCGTGATAGCGGGGGCGGAATTGTTTGGTTTCGGTCTTGATCTACGTAGACGGTGTTGCTTAGGTGTGAGTATGATGCGGCTTGCTATACTATCTGCGTTCGTGATGGTGATGTTCGTCAACGCGACGAACACCTCCCCACCCCCTCACAACCTACGAGTCGAAAACAAGGCAAAAGTAGGCAAAACGATCAACGTGTCATGTCAATCTACCTCTCTGCCTGTTTTCCTCCGTTCTGCCTGCCTGGGGCACAAAGTGAGGCTGAGACATGCACGCTCGTTCCTTCCTAGACGGCGTGCAGATACGAGGAGGTCCTCCAGTGCTGCGCCCCGCTTCCTCTTTCTCGAAGCATGCTCGCTTACCACCAACCGGCTATCGGGCTCATCTGACGTTCTGTGATGATGTGTTCATGGATAGAGGACGCGAGATGCAGGTGTGCGTTGTAGATCGCGGATTGATGATCCGCTGGGTTGCGCGATGCTATCTGCCCAGGTGGTGTCCGGTGAGAGGGTAAATGTCTGCCTCGTGCAGCGGCACTTGGGCGCGCTTTCTTCGCGAGCAAGAGTCGCAGCTTCAAACATGCGCCACATCAATGGGTTGTCTTGACAATGCGTGCGTCCGGTTACTTTCAGATGAGACCCGAGATGCTCTCGAGTATCGCGCACGTGCGGATCCCACAGACACGATCGCTGGGACGATCCAGACATGCGAACACCATACCAAAGCGTGGGCTCGGTCCGTACGACATTTGATCCTTCTAAATTCGGAAGCGGTCTTTTGGAAGCCTGTGATGGTGAATTAGATTGGAAGGAGGGGGGAAATTGAGGCTCCGTAGAGCTGGATTTGATCGTTTTTGGCTTAGTGCCGCTAGGATGATGTCATAACAGCTGAGGGAAGGAACGAACGAGTTCGTTTGCCACGTGCTTCACTCGAGCACCTGGGCACGCTTCCTCTATCCCTTCATTCGCAACTTTGCTTCAGTCTGGCTAGATGAACGATGCGTTCTTCTCGCGTCTTTGCGTGAAATCGTGTCTAGATTATGATACGTGTAGTCCCTATCTGCCTCGCCACCGTCTTGCCCAAAGTGCATGCGGTGACATAGCAGGCTTAGCATAAGTTCGTCGGGACAAATCTCTGGAAATACTGCAAATTTCAGACTGCTTGTACGATGATGATGATGAGCAGTTTCAATTGTACCGTTTCACTACATCGTTCTTCGCTCTTTCCTGATCTCCTCCCCTTCCAGGGTCTTTCCCGTCAAGTCGTTTGTTTGCGTCTCGAGATAACGTCATTAGGGGTTTAAGAGTGGGTCAAAAGCTAGAGAGTGACTGCTCAAGGAAGGAGAGGGCAACACGGATTAACCGTCGCAGCACTTGTTGGCAGTGTGGTATAGGACTATGACTAGTTGAAGACGTGGGACCTGAGGGGTGGCCGTACGGTCTCAAATCGTGCGGGTTCAGTATGTTGGTGTGTATTGCGATATTTGGAGCGACGTCAATAAGAGCTGCCAAGAAACATGTATGATCTTGCGTTTGCTTTGAGAGAATAGAAGCACAGACTATCGTGTCTGATACGGCAATGCATACGGTGAACGTCACGCTTTTACACAATCGGTGCCCATTTATCCACCGCAAATCAGTCTAAGCTTCCTCCGAGTGGTTGCTGGACCCTGGATCTTGTTGCCTTCACCTTCACTCGGATCCACCACGCTCCCCTTGCAGCATATAGTTCTCGGGTTTCATCCCCCCGCCTTCCCTCTTCTCCATCCCTCCACTGGGTTGAATCAGCGCTGGACGTCGACTTTCTCTCTACTTACACCAGTCTTGAGCAGTCATCAACATGAAGACCACGCTTCTAACCGTGACGGCCACTGTCCTTGTCCGGGCGGCGGCTGTTTTCGCTCACCCATCTCGTACACTCTCAGTTCCAACTTGTGCGAAAGCCTTCAACTAATCTTCTACAGATCCTAACTCCGTATACGGCGTCACTCCTCGAGACCAAGACCCCAACGATGGAGATGCACTTCTCGGAATCAACTGCCGCGGCAGCGCCATGTGCACGCTGTCGACTTGCGACATTAGCCTCTCGAAGATCAAGTCATACATTGATACTATTGGTATGTTCTACAAAAAAGGTTCGCCGCACTGAGCTGTGCTAACGATCTTCATCTAGACGACAAAGAAGAGTGGGGCAACGGCGACCAGATCGCTTGTAATCTTTGCAGTGGATGTTCCAACCCCGACAAGTGCGACGGCCTCTGTGCCTTCCCACAGAAGCTCAAGTCGGACGAGAAGGTCAATGGCAGCCTGATCAAGAGCAAGATCAATGACCTAGTCAATCACAAATGCGGTAGTAAGTGTACCTTGGCTACGCTACCTTCCGATACTGACTCGTTGCCAGGATGTGGCAGCTGCCCTACTAAGCCGGGAAACGACGTTAACACTGGCGAGATCACGGTCAACTACGTCACGTCTGGCTGCAAAGAGGGTGTCTGCGATTACAAGCGCAAGGCTGCCCGCGATGAGGTTGCTTCCAGCGTTACAGCCGACGAGACTGCTGACGAAGATGTTCCTGTCGACCAAACTATCGATACCGACCTTCCTGCCGACCAGACTATCGACGCCGACGATCCCATCGATACATTTCTTCCTCCCGGAACATCCGAGAACGTACATACCCTTAAGGCCCCTTGGGGTATCAATTGCAAAGGTAGCAGTCTATGTCGTATCTGCAAGGGGAGCCTCAGGCAGATTCAGGAGACATTAGCACTGATGGGTAAGTACATGCAACACACGTTCAGCTCCCTCCCCATCAAGTATGCTTTTACTGAGAGCACTATTCGCAGACGACGACTGGGAATACAAGAACAACGAGGGGATTGTGTGCGCGCATTGTACAAAGACCAGTTATGCGGCCAATTGCATCATCGCCCACAATTTACACAGACCAATCGCCATCAGGGATGTCAAAATGTTGGTCCAGCGACTCAAAGATTTTGGATGTGGACGTAAGTTGGACTCTTCTGTCGCTGTTGTGAAATCGAGGCTAATGGTTCTTAGGATGCGGAAGCGTTCCCCTCCACGTGGGCGCGGCGAATGAACAAGGCATGCTCACTGCTAACTACATAGAAAATGGTTGTCCTGACAAAGATAAACCCTGGGGTTGTGGGCCAAAGTAGCACCGACATTGTGCTGTCAATCAGCAGGGAGCACACGCCTAGCTGGCCGAAGAGGTTTATCAGACACTCTCTGTCAGCGTTGAGAAAGATTTCAAAAAGGATCTGCACGAACTCTTATCCCAGTTGTACCAACATGTAGGCCATAATCATAATAGTCGTAATAAAGTGTCATGACTATACCATAAGCACTTCAAAGCTCATCCTTGTACACCTCCTCACTCCCCTCCTGCATCTCTTCATCCTCATCGCCCTGTTCAACCTCATGTTCCTTCTCCTTGCCCATCCCCGCACTATCGCCATCTTTGTTCTTCGTCGACTTCTTCTTCGTCTTCTCAGAATCCTGATCTTCGGTATCGATGATACCTCTAAACTCCCTGCCTCTTGGTGTATCTACAAGGTCCAGCTTCCATCCCTTCTTGCCAGCCAGCTTCCTCAAGTTGGCTTTCAAAGTCTCGACATCCTTGGGATCGGCAATGTTGAGCTTCTTCATCTCCTCCTTGGACATCTGCTTGCCGTCGCTACTCGCTACGGTGCCGATAAATGTCTCCTTGCCTCCGCCGACAACGACGGATTTCTCAATCACCTTGCCTTCGCTTCCCACAAACGACTTTGCGCCGACTTCAATGCCGCCAATGACAATGCGCTTGGTAGAGCCCTCGAGGCCGTCGGCGAGATCGCGGAGCGGGTTCGTGTTGGCGTCGTCGGCAGCGTTGTGGGCAGCGATGAGACGTTCGGCCGCGGCCAGCTTGGCGGATAGCTGTGCTTCTGTCCATGCGTCCACTTCAGACTCTGGAATGACGGGTTCACAGGTTATAGGATGTGCGAGGTTCTCTTGTGGTGGGGTGAAGGCAACGTCGTGGCAGAGGCGGGGCGTGTCGACAATCATGAGGTAGGAGCAGGTGCTTGTTTCTTTGATCATGGCGATTCGGTCGGCAGATTGTGGGTTGCAGTGGAACTGGAAGAGATGTCAATACTGTGTGGGAAGACAATGGCGCTGCCAGGACATACCTGTACATCGATCTTGCGCGGCTTGCCTGTCAAGTCGCACTCAGTACCATCCGACAGCCGCTGTACCATGTATCTGCTAGACCCCTTGGTTTCTAGTCTTGAGATCTCCAGGCCCTTCTCGTCATCGTCGGTCGTTTTGTCCTCATCATCAAAAGCCTCCTTGCTGCCCTCTTCGTTGCCTAGTGTCTTGCGCGCGTCCGCTTTCTTGCTCTTCTCCTCCTTCGGGTACCTCCCCAATACGAAGCTGTGTACGCTCGTGTCCTCCACAGGTGGGTAATGGGGAACACCTCGACTTTGTGGGAGCTGGTGGAACTGCTTGACTTCGTCCTTGTAGCAGAAGCTGTAGCTCCACCAGCCGCTCACATAGTAGATGCAGTTGCCCTTCATGCCTTCGAGTAGCTCCCACCCGCGGTCTGCTGCGCGTATGAGCTCCTTCTCTTCCTCGGCTTTGGCTTCCTCGGCCGATGTTGTGTCATTCTGCGGTACCTCTTCTGGTATTATGGGTATGCTGCATAGGTAGCGCTGTCCGTGCAGCACGACTGCTTCGTATGTCTGTTCGAGCGCATCGTCTACGGGTGGTATATTCGCCGCCGGCTTATCGCGCTTCGAGAGTTCCTGTGTCTCTTGCGAGCCGGGTGTTGCAGAGCTCGAGCTGGGTGATCCGTGGGAGAGCAGAAACGTCGCATCGTTTTCGGTAACGAAAGTGTCAGGCCACAAAACCTCATACTGGGTGTGGCGTTAGCAGATGTTGCTGCTGTCGGAGTGCGTGGCGCGTCATACCTGTGGGAAAGCGAGCAGATCGTCGAACACGCTGAACGCATGCTGGTTCGCCAGCGCAATGCGCAAAACCGCCGGAAGTGCCCAAATGCCCCTCATTACGACAAGAGGCCCTAGGATCTGGGAAAGGAATAGAATAAAGGCATGCGCCGTGAAGCTGGTCGCGGAGTTCTTGGTTGCGGCCAGATGTCACTTCCGCGGGGCTAGACCGCGTTTGGCAAAACCCATGAGGGACACACGAGCGCGCTTTCCCCATCGAACCATGTTTCACGCATCACAGCCGCTTCTCTTTGGCATTCGAACAAGGTCTCCTCTGCAAGGGTAAGCGTTTGAGTTCTGGTATCAACAATGGCTAGAGCATACCAGGCTCGATATGCCGTCATCTGTTCGACCCCCCATATGAAGGCTACCTGCGCGGTCTCTGCTCAGTTGGGAATCACATCTACTTGTTCTCGATGAACATGAGGCGTCTCCGATTCGACGCGGGGTAGTATGCGCAGCCGTGGCAGTGTTCCTGACCGGTCAGCTTGCTGCCACGCCCTATAGCCGCGAGCATTGCGCATATGAAATCATGATTAGCTTAGAGCGCTCCTTCCTTCATCATCGCAATCATCGAATTGTTCCATTGGAACATGTTCCTCTCTCCCGATGGCGCGCGCAATAAAGATGCGGCGATATATCCCGGCCTTCCACTCCAAGAGAATCACATCAGAGTCGTGAGACTGTTGCCTGGCAGGTGGACTGAGCAGATTCGTTGCGAACTGTCGAGCGCCAATATCGAAGTCGCAAAATATCGGGCATTGTCTTACGTATGGGGCTCGCAACATGTGACACGATCAATTCAACTCGATGGACGTATTTACCCTGTCACGGTGAATCTTGAGGGCGCACTAAGGCACTTGCGGGAAGCGTACAAGGACGGGTTGGACCTATGGATCGATGCGCTGTACGTATGACATTTGGATTTGTCGCAGATATGTATCTGACCTACCGGCGGCTAGATGCATCAATCAGAAAGATGGCGAAGAGAGAACTCATCAAGTTCAGTTGATGGGCCTCATCTATAAGAAATGTGAGGAATGCATAGTATATCTTGGAGACGCTACCGATCCCTCTTTGACTGAACCACCACCCGTCCAGCATTTTGAAAAGAGGTCTGCCACCCAGTATCGCAGGAACATGGCAAGCCGTAAACCAGGTGTCTACGAGGTTTTCTCACTCTTCCATGACATAATTTCAGGCAAACATCTCCACACGGTCTTCGGTTATGGCGCAGATTTATCGAAAATAATTTCGCAGCAAGATCAGGCGCAATATCGATTGCAGCTATTCGAAGCCTTGAGGAAGTTTACGCATGCGCCATTCACACCCTGGTGGACTCGTATTTGGGTGATACAAGAAGTTACAACACCTCCTCGTGTTGTTATTACATACGGGACAATATCTGCATCCTGGAACATGTTTGCCCAAGGCGCAGTCAGCTATGATCGACATAGCGCCCGTTGCTGCAAGGAATTTGTCCAACATCTGCCGCCGGATCAGCAAAAGTTTGTGGCTGATAGCTGCAAGAAGATCATGGGTATTGACAGTCTTCGATGGAGCACACAATCTCTGTCGATCTGCCCCAACCTAACATCGCTTGGGTTGTTGAGCTTGTTGACCCAGTTCCGCGACCGTAAAGCGTCTGATCCCAGAGACAAAGTGTATGCTCTCCTCAGCATGGCTTGGACTCCTCCAGGCAGGACACCATTGACACCAGACTATTCGCTAAGCGAAAAAAGCGTTTTTTGTAAAGCAGCGCTCGAGTCTATCTACACGACGGAATCACTCTCAATGTTCAGCACAGAGCTCGGGCGAAAGTTCAGAAACGATTTGCCTTCGTGGGTTCCGGATTGGGGAGCGCCAGGGGGGCACACGTACGCTGCACGTACGCAAGCTATCCTTCTATACAACGCCAATCGAGAGAAGGCTACACCCTTGACAGTCAGGTCAATCACAGAGTCTGCCCTGAAACTACGGGCTGCGAGGATAACGACTGTGAGAGTACTGGGAGAGACCATGCTGGGGGACGATGCGGCTTATACCCGGCAGACACTCCTTCAATGGTTGTCACTGTGGAATACAGCGTCGTTAGCCAAGGGTAAATTTCCGGCCAAAAAGCCAGTAGATGAGCTCTTTGTGAAACTCATTTGCGCAGGTGTAATATGCCCCATTCATTCTGGGCTACAATATTGTGTACGCCCCGTAGAAGCTTACGATGCAAGCACTTTCGAGAGTTGGGCAGCATATTCAAAAATGTCGCCGCATGGAAAGGCAGACGACACAGACTTTATCGATGACACGTCAACGCCTACGCACCTGTGGAGGCAATTCATGTTGTTGTGGCCAAATTACCCGGTTCCACACGTGCTTGACCCGTTAAATGACCGAGACGAGTACTTCCCTATTGGTCTCGACAATAACACCTTGGATGGGGTTAGCTTAATCGCTCGATTATACGAGCTTCTCCTCTATTCTGACACCGGACTAAGATACAATCCTCTTGACTACTTTGATCGATATCGGCCACGACCTCATGCTCCATGGAAAGATCTCTTCATCGAAGTCCGGCAGATACTTCAAATCACATTCGGACCCGACATACATTTAAACCTTACTCAGAGAAGAGGTCTCATCCCAGATATTGACAACTCGATAAGCATAGCAACGCTCTCGCGGCGCCTCATTATTGGCGAGAATTCCTTGAGGTCGAGCCCTGTCACTGGCAAACAAGTTTTCGGATTAGGCCCGGCGGGGACGGTTAAAGGCGACGAAGTATTCCTCTTGACAGGTGGAAAGACGCCATTCGTCTTACGTCGGCGTGATGATGCAGATGACGCGATTCCAGGACCAAAATACGAGATCATCGGTGATTGTTACTTGCAAGGATGGATGGATGGCGAGGGAGAAGGTCTTGCGTTAGATGATTGGGAAGACATAACGCTCGTGTGATAATCTGAATAAAGCTACGCGATTGTTAATGGGAGAATATAGTTAGTATCAACGTTGTAAAAGCCAGAACTCTGGACAGCAAT